ACTTTCCTCATACACACGCACAACCATGACATTCAAGTGCCTGCCGTCATTCATCTCTGGGGGAACACTGTGATATCAGGGATAAAACTTTACATCCTGTTCATCCTGTCCCACCTTGCTGTTTTCATTATCTTGTATCCCAGTGTGCTGAGGCAGAGTTGCATCCTCCTTATATTTTTATAGAGTTTTTACCTCAGACATTGTTTGTATTGTGCCCCCCTTTGCAAAACTAGACATTACACACCAGTATATTAAAGCCAATTAGTGAAATTAAACTGCTTATATAAAGTAAAGTTAGCAGTAAATAATACTAAATGGATTTGGAAAAGTTTGAAACTATGATGTGTCTGTAACTTCCTCCATCCATTAAATTTGATGTTATTTCTACCAGTGCATTGAACAGTGTAAATATGACAGCAAACAGTGTTTGTACACAAGTACTTCAAACAGAACAGTTACCATATGTGTGTAATAGTCAAAATTGAATGAGACACACAGCCGGCCCCTTTGACAGTATAACTTTTATTACTACAGTTTAGCCTAAAATGGCATATAAAAAGGTAACAGTATATAATTTACAACAAATATGTGTAAGATAGAATAAAATGTCAAACATTCAGCTTGAAATGAAAAATTTAAGATGTTACATTTGTTATCAGTGGATTTTAAGGCTCATAGTCAGCTTTTTAAATTAAAAAAATATTTGCAACATATGATTTGCGCATCAATTTTACCTATTTAATCTTTTGTTTGTTTCTCCTTTCCTCCATAGAAATTCTTTTAGTACTTCAGTTGTTTCAGCAAACAGTACCACTTCAGCATGATCAAGCCAGATTTGGTTTATTAGTTTATTGAATTTCGATGTTTTCCATCACATCAGTTGGCAATGTAATTTAATTGTATTGCATTTATGAAATACAGTACTATTAATGTTTATTGAATGTTGGGGGCCACCAATTTGCCCTGTATTTATGATCTTTTCTTATTTTGTCTGTATATCGATGTAAAAGAGAATATTTGTCAGAAATAAAGGTTCTTTTTATTATTTATGGAGAGCTTACTGTATCAGAAACCAAATGTCTCATCAGTTGAGCCATGGTGACTGCAGTTACAGCTTGTGTGTCAGAGCCAGCAATGTGAAGTTGTTCCATACTTTAAATCAGTTTCACAAACTATGCTGTTTTTAGTTTTGTTTTTAAATAGTTGCTGAAACTGTATCTTAACTTTCCTCAAGGTACTATCCTCTCAAATGATCCAGTTTTCAAAAGATGGCCACAGAAAACATCCAGAAATCAGAACAATGTTTTGCAAGGAAGTTAACATTTACATTGGTGGCAAACTAAACTGTAGACTTTTACTTCGGAAATGTAATATTTGACAAAATGCTAATTTTTTCCCCCTCTTTGTGAACAGCAATGATGTGCGACATACAAGCTATATCTACAGTTTCTCTGGCTAGTGTTAACCAAGCATCAGTCTTCACAATGTCATTTCCAACTGCTTGTTTTCATGTAGCGCTTTTTCGTAATTATTTTGTGTGTGAAATCGAGATTTGATGTTACTCTGAATCTGTAATATTGATGTGACACATTTGTCATTCATTTGATAATTTAGCAGGGCATGCTTACAGGACAGAGTGTACATTTACTTGCTGGATGCTGAAGGACAATGTCGACACCTTGTATTTTGTATTTTTAAAACAATGGCATTGAATAGTTAGGATTCCTTGTCCAGTGTCAGTAGTTAATTTGGTTATTGCTTTCTTTGCCTGAGATGCGTTCATATCTTTTTACTATGTTCCTTATCATGTGTATCAAGATAGCAGGCCACTCCATCTGTAAATACCACCATTAGAGAATAAAGGCTACTATTTTTCAAACCTGTAACAGTATGTTGTGGTGAGTTTTAGCTGTCACTGTTAGACCACTGGGTGGCAGTATAGCACAGCTAGAGCAAAAACGTACAAAATTAAGGGGGGGAAGGATGAAGCAGCACAGCTATTTAGTGGATTAATTGCAAAATTGTTAAGAAATGGTCAGAATTAAGTATAGAGGAAATAGCATTATTATTATTTTGTATATATTGTTCTCACGTGGTGCAAATTCCTAACACAATTGTGTTATATATCAAATGACCAAAACAGACACATATACCATGCCACATGGGTAGTTGTTGCACTGGATGTAATGTGAACTTGACAATGGGATACATAGAGAGCATACTGCAACATAACAGATGAAAAATTGTAAATGCTCTTACGTGGTACATGTTTCAATTTATTTGCCAAAGGATAGCTCGTAGCCTTCATCACAAATACCATCAGCTGTTGACACCCCGCCCAATACACCTCCACACTACGCTTAGTCGCGTTTGAGAGTTTCGACATTCTCACTAGTCCATGAACGCAGCTTATGCCTTGACTGGTTACCAGCAATGGAAAGAAAAGGTAACGTTGCTAACTAAATCAAAATACCTTTTACATCCAACACGGCTCATTGGCTTTTTTTTTTATCTGGAGATTTATCAGGCCAATGAATTGTCATGAGGACAGTAACGACTAGCGCTATAACACGCCTCATAACGGTGGTGATGAAAAGTAAAAGTGGTCCATGCGGTCTGCTGTGTGCATGTGTGTTGAAAGTATGCTAGCTGTAGCTATTAGACTAGCATCCGATTGTGGACAAGTATGCACCAAAACTTTTATCCAGCTCAGAATAAAACATGAGTCACGGAGTGCCCAAAACTACTAACAACTTGACCAGGGCTCCGCTGGATGTTAAGTGTAATACTGGCAGTAAAAACGACAAAGTTAATGTTAGCAGCTATCTTAGACGTCGCGTATGTAGAGCAACAGATCGCCGAGGCCGGTGTTGTGTCGAAATATTTCCCCTTCGAGATGTTCCTCTAACCCGAGCCCTAACATTATCCTAACCACAACCACTGAAGTGGGGCGCTACATGAACCACAGATTTGAATTGGGGAAAAACATCTCAAGGGGGGGCACTTTTCGACACAAGACCATTTTATTTAGCCGTTCGAATAACGCTAACCTGTTAGCAATGTAACCTGTAAGTACGAGGTTTTTACACCTGCAACCCGGGCCACATGAGGTACCACCGGTCTGAAATCACGAAATAAGCGGAACAGCCTTGAGCAGCAACACAGTGTCGTGTTTGACGTTGAGTTCTAATCTCATACCTAACTGTTACCTCTCTGGTTGTGTGTTTTTAAGTGCTCGCAATGCAAGCGAGGAAGAAGAGGACAAAGCCCCGGAAACCGGGCAAGAAGTAAGTTGAAGACCACTGCAGCTTGTTGTCATGTGGCAGTTTACTGTTGCTGGTCTGGAAACACAAAGCAGGGGGCTCACCTTGAAGCTCACTTGGCTGTAATTTTTCCTTGCATTGATTATTTGTCAAAACAAAATGACATGATATGGAGTTGTCCCACTTCTCAGCACGCAGTGTTAGTGTATGGTTAAGACGGGGTTACGGTGGATGCAGATTTCCACTGTACCTGCGTCTTGGTTCTGTAAAGTGGTCTTGTTGACATTTATAATGTAAAAGATTGATGTGTATACAGTAGGTACACATGATCATAGCCTACTATGAAAATCATCTTTAGTTACAGAAGAGCTATTTTTCCACTTTATGAGTGAAATTGAGGCAGAGTTAAATATTTCCAGAAATGCTGCAGCAGGAAAGTGACACAGTGTGTAGGTACAGTAGCACTGCCACTTCATGATTCTTTTGAACGTTACCACTTGTTGCTGAGTCCTACAAAGTGCCAGCAATGGATGTGCTACATCCTGCACTTGATCTTTTCTTTACCAAGGTGTACCTGGCTGCAATGTCAGAGCAAACAGGGCTGTGTTCAAGGGAATGTCAACATTGACCCTTTTCTTTTTCTAGCTAATTAAACATTTGTTGGCTACACACCACAGGCCTCCATGTTGGTGCATGTGCCCCTGAAAGAGCAGTAATGTATTCTATTTGGATGAAACTGTTCACTAAATATGAACGGTTTTCATCCATCCATCATCACAAAGTAGTGATGAGGAATGAATATGTTATGTGCTGGCGGTAAAGATACCTGTTAGTAGGAAATTTACTGAATCAATTTATTTATCTTTTGATATTTTGTGGTATTGTTATTCACTGCTGATTTGTGGGTGTTATCCAAATATGGTCAGCAATATTCTAATGCACTAGCAGCTTTTAACACTGAAATGAATGGTAAAAATTAAAAGCACAAAAAAGACCAAAGTACCAGATAAACTTAACCAGCCTAACACCACTGTGGTGTGTGTGTGCTGTCACCTACATGTTCTCCCTGCACATTTGATTGACGAAAAGCAGATTGTGATGTGGATTTAAGTGAGATTACAGCTTATCTTCCATTTTGTGGTCCCCATCTTTTATTTTACCTTTATCTTATTCAGTGACTTCATTGTATCCCAAACTACCGGTGTCAGTCATGTACTTCTCTCTCTTGCCCAGCAACAGTCCTCCTGTCTTTCACCTGTGTTTCACCTCATTGTATCACAGTGGCACCTGTCAGTGTGTGGGGTTTATTAGGCAGCAAGTGAACATTCACTCCTCAAAGTTGATGTGTTGGAAGCAGGAAAAATGGGCAAGTGTAAGGATCTGAGTGACCGACAAGGGCCAAACTGTGATGGTGAGATGACTGGATCACACTGCCAGTCTTGGTGGGTGTTCCTGGTCTGCAGTGGTTAGTACCTATTGTCTAAGGAAGGACAAATGCTGAACTGGCAACAGGCTCATGGACGCCCACGGCTCACTGAAGATGAGGTTGACCTACTGTAGATTAAACTTTTAACTTCCATTTGTACCTTTCAAAAGATTAAAATTTATTTGTATCTTTGTTAAAAGGAAAGTCACTTTCGGCTTTTCCCATTTAGGGGTCGCCACAGCGAATCGTCACACTGACGACTCGCATGTTGACATTTGGCGTGTGTTTTACGACAGATGCCCTTCCTGACGCAACCCTGATTCGAACCTGGGCCGCTGCGCCTTAACCACTAGCCTACCAGGGACGGCTTTTTTGAAAATAGGATACTGTACAGTGGTCTCTGTGAATGGAAAGAGTCGGGAACTGTAGTGGTGATATCACACCTAGAGTGGTGAGGCTGTTGGATTTGTCTAAACAATTCTCTCCAACTCGTCCTCATGACCACAGTTTTCACTCCTTTTATATAGGTTTTTCACTGAATGGTCGACACATCTGTGCTCTTCCTGACAGCAGAACTGTGGAAGCAAGTGGATTCACAGAAGATGCACAGTGAGCTGCAGAGTGACATGAGTGCCAACTGACACAATGACTCCTGTGTACACAGTATTAGGCAGGTGGTCATAATGTTATGCCTCATCTGTCATCTGTGGGTGTCTTATGTCTGTGCATTAAGATCCTACAGTTACAAGTCAGATAAAGAGTGAGATTTCTGATGTAAATTGGGACAATCAGGCGCTAAGGGGTTTAAAGTGTCTGTATTGCCCCTGTGAGCTGCTGCTTCTGTTGATAACAACTGAAAACCCCTACATTAGAACATCAAGTCTTGACACAGCATATTAGCACATGAACAGTCATATTCTATAACAGTATGGCCCCTTCTGGGTTATCTGCCTACACAACAAACACTCCTGTGCAAAATTTCTGCAGCACTCCAGAAATAGTGACAGTGATGCAGTGCAGCCACTGTCAGCTGAAAATACAGAATTTCTCAGAATAAATCAACTCCTCAACTCGCTCTCTCTCTCTCTCTTCTCTTGCCCTTGCACCCATCACACTCCTTCCCTCCCACTCTCTTGTGTCAGTCGCTCTGTTGTGACTGCTGTGCTGAGAGGACGCAGCAGCCACAGTTCAGTTGGACAGCCAGGGCAGAGGAGAGCAGACTTCCTCCCAGGTCACATCACTTTTGGGTTAGCTTTAAAGTGCAGCTCGCCTTCGCCAAGCAAAGTTTACTATATACTGGTGTAACAACTTTAGCCTGGTGTCATCTGGGTCATGTGGCTCCTGGACTGGATCTTCTCCATTAATACAGCTGTGGTGAAGCTGGCCAGTGGCCTTGCATGCAAGTGAGTAGTGCAGAAATGCTCGTGTGTGTGCGTGTGTTTGAGGGAGAAAACAAGGTTATGGGAAAGAGATGCAAAAGTCATGTGCTCATGTTTGTACTGCTTGTTGAATGCGTGCTAATGGGCTTCTGGAAAGTAGTATTGTATGTTCACCAGATGCCAGCCTATACAGACTTTGACTTACTGTTGGGCTGATCTGTTTTTAATTAAAGAGAGCAGATGCTGATTGTTGTTGCTCTACCAGGTACCTGAATAACCTGCTCATGTTTTGCTGTGCCTGTGTGCAAGCGAGCGAGAAGAGGAATGGTGATGTCCCTGGTGGAATTGCACTGACAGCTTTTATTGCTTCATTACAGTATATATAAATATGTATTGTTTCACTTCATGAAACCAGACATTTCTGCATGTTTCTGTGCCTCAGATGTAATTTTACAACTACACAGGCACTCAGGAGACTAAACATGAATAGCCAGTGTTGCAGAGTATTTAACAGTCTGATGTATTTTGCTTTCATCTCTGCCTCTTCCCTCCCAGCCACAGCTGCAGTTCATTGCATAACCCATCAAATGTTTTATCATCTGCAGCTCAGTGTCCCTCTTTCTCTCTCTCTGTCCGTACCCTGCAGATTAAACACTGCCATTCTTTCCCATCCCATCAGTGGCAGAAATCTATAAATCCATGTGTGTTGGTCGTGAAGGGGAGGTGGGCCGCTTTAGGCCGCAAAGATGTGGGGTTTTCAGCTGTTTGTGCAGAGAGATTTGTTTTTGTGAAGTAAGAAAACCTGCAGTGGTTTAACAGTTGCTGTAGTGTGCTCTCTGTAGATGTGCTCTCGTGGTAGGCTATGCAGTCTCTGCTTGGAGGTCTATTTTACACATACAATTATGACTAATATGAAACAGTCCCTTATTTAGACAAGTCACAAGAACTTGAAAAAGTATTACAGTGCATTACCTAAAATTTAAGCATCCATAGAGATGCAGGCTTTCAGCAGGTGTACTAGTACATAGTGGAAGAGCTGCAGCACACTCATTTACTCTTTTTGTGCATTGCACCTTCAGCCCCTCGGTACAGTTACCTAGCGCTGCTGTTTCATTTAGCTGCCCAGGCGATTTGCATTGATTTTAACTGAAGAGAGGGGAGGATGGGTTTCTTTTCTGGGGGGGGGGGCACCAAGCTCTTTCTTCCCCTGTGCCCTTGGTCATTTTGCTCTAGAAAGCTGATCAGAGTAGATAGGTGGGAACAGTACAGCCACAAGAAATGCGGAGATGCTGACACACACGATCGTGTCAGATGTGTGCACAGGAGAACTGGAGATGTCGAGCGGTTGTGGTTCAGTATTAGATTTCAGCCCTCAATAGCACAATCACTGTCCCATAGGGAAATGTGGCCTGGGCTGCAGTTAAACTGAACATTCATCAGGCTCTTGGTGTGAAAGGCAGTTTAAGGATGAGCCAGTGAAAATGGCTTAAAAATGTGTTGATGTTTGACCCGTTTTGTTAAAGCAATTCCTGCATCAACCAGGATCCTGAACCTGAAGCAACTACATGGAAATTAGCCAGATTTCATTATATTGTTGACACCTGTGTTCTTACTGTGTCTGCCCTGAAAAAGGCCTGTAGTTCTTGTTGTATGGGTGCAGCAGGTCATGTTTGCACTAGGGATGCACCGATACAACTTTTTTTCAGATTGAGTTCTGGCCAATACCAAGTACTGATAAAAGTACTGGATAATAATGCAGTTTTTACAACACAAATTACAATTACCATAAAAGTACACTGAATTCAGAGGCTTTATTTTCATGAGATTTACTTTTGGATTGATTAAAATATATAATAGGAGGTTGTGCAAGTTTATGTGATAACAAACAGCAGTGCCACCACTCCTGCTGACAGGAAACTGACTGAATTCCTACATGCCAAACCTTAATACAGTGGTTTTTAACCCTTTTAGGAGTGCTTTTCTAAAAATTTGTTAATATCTGCTGACCACCTCGTGGAAAGCCATTTGGTTGCCTAGCAACAGGCGCCCACCATTTGCACAGCTTGCACGTGTGTGGCCTCCTGCCCTGTGTTGTGCCCACCTCCCTGCTATGAAGTGGTATTGGTGTCTAGCATCGCACAACTTTTATAAGTACCAGATGGTGGTATTGGTTTCAGTGCCTCCCTACTTTGCACCTGCACCCCATGTCTTTGGGGCACACGTGCTGCTTACCCAGGTACCGACAGAATTGGCAGATTGTTTTCCCGTCACTTAGATAATCCATTAATTATTCATTACAAGTGATTCACTGTAAAAAAATGAATCCTAGTCTCCAGTCTTAGGTGCACCTGATTTACTCTCTTAGGTATCTATATGCAGGTACACACAGTGATACCAACATCGCCGTCAGACTCCTTCTGACATCACGGAAACCACAGACACTAATATGTGTTTAATGACATTTTACTAACAGAAGCATGGATGACTAACAAGTACTCCAATTGGCACTTAACCCACATAAAGAAGTACTTGGCTCTGAAAGAGGACAAGGCTTTTTTTCAACCCAGACCCAAACACAGCATCATTTATCATTCAAAAATTTAGCTTGGTGTAAACATCAGAGCAGAAGAGATTTGATCAGTGAAAAAGATTGTATTGTTAAATCACTGATGGGGAAACAATAAAATAAGGAAATGTCCAAGCTGCTATTCAGTAATCACTGTATAAAAGAAGCCATGGTTCTTCCTCACATTTAGGGGTTTAAACCTTCCTTAATGTTGTGAAGCAGAAACACATGACATGGGGCATCAGTTAGAAGAGCAAAGGCTGCGGCATAATGAATGCAGCATTGGTTGTTCTGTGCAAAAAATGGTGATTGAAACCTCATGGTAGATGTATGAGATGTGTGGGATGATGATGGACAGAAGAAGAGCGCAATTGTGTTGTATTGGTTAGATGGGAGGGGGTGTTGATGTCGTCCCTCACCTGCAATGCAGTGCTGGGCCGCATCACCCAATCATCTCCCTGCTGTCAATGCAGGGGGGCTGGACCAGAGGCTGACAACAGCCAAGGAGAGTTCTTGGTCAGACCGACAGAGAGAGAGAGTGAACGTGAGAGAGGAAAAAAGTGAGCGAGAGAGTTGGCAAGTGTGCAGTGGTGTCCTGTGCTCCAGGACTCAGCCTCAGTGCTGTGCCTGCAGCAGAGACTCTACATTTCTCCTCTTCCTCTCCATGCTCGTCTTTCCCCTCTCTGCTTCGTTTTTTTCTTCTTCTTCCCCTTCCTCTGTAATCTCTGCTTTGCAGTCATCAGTACGGATCGCTCTGTCCTCTGCTCCACTTTTCACTTTCTGTCTTTTGGCCTTCTAATCCCTCTTTTCGTCTCCTGGCGGATGGAGTGAGAGGGTCTTTTAACACGTGCACTCTCTCCTGTCCTGTCCTGTCCTCCTCCCTGCATCACGTCCCATGGGCATCCATGCATCTTGCAGGTAAGAGCAGGATTCGTGTGTGTGTATATGTGTTTGTGCAGATGTTTTGAGTGTTGCAGAACTCGTCGAAGTATCCTGATCATTGTCTGTGTTCTTGTCTGATGATTAGAAGGCAATGGACTGTACAACTCTCAATGTACTGCAGTGAGGAAAAAAACAACTTTGGTGCCAGTCTTGAAAGGCACAATCATCTCACATCGTTTGATATTAAATATTTAATCCTGGTGGGTTGAAAATTTAATTTTTGTGTATTTCTCCCCTTTTTTCTCCTGTAGACACTTGACCCTCTAACCTCCACCATTCTCTCCATCTCATTTTCTGCTCTCCACTGTATGTCATATGAATTTTGGCAGTTATATTTAGATCTAGTCCTTGTCCTGGGAGCCGAGGGGTCTCTATCACTTTTCTAGCTTCCCTTCTTTTACATTTAGCTAACACAAAACTGGACATTTTAGTCTGTCGTCAAGGACCACTGACATTTAGTTTGTCTTCAGACGATGAACCAATGTTTGCTTATTTTATATTTGTCAATAATCAGTTTGTGAACATTTTGATCAAATTTTATGCAAGGCTAGGAAGATATCTGCCCGCCTTTCATGTTAGCCAAGCCCTGAAAATGGACAGTGTGTACAGTGAGCCCCGTGCTGTCAGCAGTGCAGGTTCTGTAGAAAGCAGCTCAGATACAAAGCTGCATGGAAACGGCAGCCAACAGTCGATGACAAGAATGCATAGGTGCAAATAATGTTTATATTTGCTAGTAGTCTTATCTTTTTCTTCCATAGTGTCAAGTTAATTTGTCAACTTTTAAAGACTTTGCCCAGTTTTGCCTCATTTTTGTTCTGTTTTATTTGTTAATATTTATTTCATCTTGCCATCATTTCATCTCTGCTCCTACTTTGAACAGAATTAACACTGTGCCTGAAGCCCTGTGTAAAGCCCACCTTCCCCTGTTGTTCACTGCAGTTATCATTACTCTGAAGCTTGTTTATTTGAGTCGCAGCAAGCGAGATTGGCCTCCATAATGTTTCAGTAAATCTCTAGGCTGTGTCCATGCAAGTGAATGGGTTGTTTTGCCTTTGCCACACAGTGTGTAGGCTCTTTTTGCAGAGAAGTGCTGAAATTTCTGAAGCCTAGAGAAAGACTGAAGGCATTTGTTCTATAGTTAGTGAAATGTAGTTTTCAAAGCTCATAACACTGAAGCAGTTTTGCTGTCTGCTCACTTAAGTACTGTTATGATGAGGAGTGAGACAAACACTTGTTTTACTTGACAGGAGTCCGGGCAAATGATAAATGTGTGTGTGTCCTCCACTGACACTTTTCCTTTGATGCATCGAGAGGAAAATCTCACAGCAGATGGGTGAAAATGTAGAAGCATAATCATAGACTAACAAACAATAAAAATCTTTTTTGTCTCAGCGTTTCCTCCTCCTACACTCGAGCCTTTCATACATCAGCCAGTGTTACTGACTGACATTTGAATTATTGCAGAGATAAACACTCACCAGCCACTGTATTAGGTACAGCTGTACAGTTGTATGCACTTCAATGCAACACTTCCGCCTTAACATCTGTGTTTATGACGCTCAAAATGTTTCAGTTTTTGGTGCAGCCGTCATAAGTGTATCAATTATATGTTTATTATTGAGGTCCCAGTTAAAGGTGGTGTTGTACTGGGCTACATTATATTCAGACATGTTCCTAATATTCTGGTCCTCTAATGTATGTAGCTGGGGAGGACAAAAATATAGACACCTCTGAATATAATGTAGTCCAGTACAACACCACCTTTAACTATGACCTTAACAATAAACATATAATTGAATTTATACATTTACGACAATTTCACAAAAAACCGAAACATTTTGAGCTTCATAAACACAGATGTTAAGGCAAAAAAGGTGCATTGACTTGCTTACAGTTGTACAGGTGTACCTAATAAAGTGGCCTGTGTGTGTATGTATATGTAGAAAAAGGCTTGAATGTAATAAATGGAAAACTAGCAAACACAGAACCTAATTTATTCATTAATCTCTGCAAAACCGACTTCATCTCAACACTGTAGCAACCTTTTCCCTCCAGCAATGGCAGCTAACAGCTGAGATAATCACATGGTAAACATGACAAAGCTTTGCAGTATGTTTTATTTATTTTTTTCTTAACATACATCCAAAGTGATCCTTGTACTCAATCTTAAGCCTCTGGTATAATTAGCTAGGCACGCTAATCCAAATGACTTGAACATTGTTTGCAAGGAGATTGCAACAAAACCATCAATCAGAGAAATCCAG